TTTGCCAAGATTGCCAGGGATTTAGCGAGGCAGCAAATAAATATCATATCGTGGTAAACCTTACTCATCGCGTACAGCCTGATGATGTAAACGGCAAAGAATACGCCGACTCTCCGAAAATAAACAACATGCGCGAGCGTAATTTCCTGAAATAATCAGATGCGCCGCTGTATTTCGCTGAAATGTGTATTCATCGAGCATTCGCGCGTGATACAAAACATATTACCGTTAGTTATGTATATTGTCAGATTGTGATAATAAAGAAAGCTGTGGGCTTTGCCGTTTGCTTAATAGACGCGAGCATTTCCGATGAAAGCAAGAGGATGGCTTAATTGGGAGTTCCGACATTCCGACGGTAAAGAGAAAAAACCTGTAACTACGGAAATCGTAAATAATACGTGGCGAGTCGTCTGCTGCTTTTATTTACGGTGTGCTATCGACAATCTGACATTTACCGCATGATGTTATAACGAATGGCTGCGATACTTGGACGTGAAACATCGTCAACAAGCCTGACACTTATAACTAATCAAAAGATCCGTTAAATATGCTATATAAAATTCAGTATCCGATCTCTAAAAAGATACTTTCAAAAGTCAATTTCGTTTGTTGGTTCTTATTTCATTACTATCACTTTTTATCATTGCCCCTAATAAAATAATACGTCCAACGTTTTTATTTTATAAACCACACAATAAGTATGGAATAAAAAAAAATCTGGAATATATTTATGTGAACATATGTATATATACATGATGATCCTTAATATTCTAAAAAATTTTAAGAAGTGATTCCTCTCACATTAATTCATATTATTCAAAACAAAAACTTTATATAACCATATATCCAAAATAGCTGTTTCAGAAATGTCCAGCTTTAGCCCAAAAAATGAACCTTCATATTCTTAAAGCATTTACAAAGTTTTACCAAGTAATTACAGTAGTTTTCGGAATTTTTGAAAGAAAAACAAAATTTTTCTTCAACTCTGTATTTTTGAAACTTGAACAGTTTGGAATATATAGTTATACGAGGATTTTAAGAAATGATTCCTCATATTCAAAACGTCTAGGATGTGTGAGGAGTTATCCCTTAATCTACATACAGAGTGATCCTTAAGTATTCTAAAAAATTTTAAGAATCAATTCTTCATATTCTAAAAGTTTTCATTTTAATACTATATAAGGACCACCCTGTATATGCTTTCATATATATACAGTAAATTCAACGCGAGCGACTTCAACGACAAAATATAAAAAATAGTTAACAGTGACAATCAACATTTTTATTTTACTACAATAAAAGCGGATACTGCGATTTACGATGCAACAATATGAGTGGCTGCTAACTAAAAGAAAAACAAAAGTGAGAACTCCGGAAATAGCGACTGATCGTCTAGCGACCCGTCGTTATTGGCAGTCTAGTATTTCTTCTATTTGTACTTTTTTTTTATTTCCATTAGCGAAAAAGATTAAATAGGATATCGGAAAGACGTTATGAAAAAGCAGTAATATTATTATATCTTTTTTTAGAAGTCTAATAACATTTTTAGAAGCTGAAAGAAATCTTTCTGAAAGCAAGCTTTCGTGAGAAAGAAATCCAACACTCGCAAAAGTCTATATTCTTGGCGATAAGAAGAACTACGAGAGAAGCGCTGATTGGACTCTATTAACATCGGCTAATACGTTCTTTGAATGCTTTAATTTTCCTCCTTGACTCGATAGGGCTCTTCTAAGGAGACAGCTAAGACGCGCCATACGGAGCTGCGTAACTCCGACGTTCTGATCGTGACACATGTCCGTCGCAGAAAAGACACGCCGAGCCGCGCTGCCAAACGCGCCAGCCGTTGATTTTCCACAAAATGTCTGAGCGGCTGATTGACATGTTTATTCGTAATGTAATCTCGCGGGTTCGCGTTAAATCACGTTAACGTCAACGCGGCGCGTTTGGCTTTGAAGGTTTTAATTAATATGAGGCGAAACGCGCGACCCGCTCAGTTAATCCAAACGTAAAATATAATCCCTTTTTTTTTATTTCTCTTTCCTTTTATTCCTACAACTTGAACGTTATTACGATACACATACAAGACGCGTTTCTTGAATAAGAACAGTGAAACAGTCCGCTCTGGCGACGGTGTAAAAACGACGCGCTTGTACGGAGAAATGAAATAACGTAAATGAATAATGTTAGAATTATAATGAAATGTGTAGCGATTAATATGAAATATGTAGACGCCCGGAAAGTTTTATTCGCGAGCTGCGCGACATTATTTCCTCTAATTGCGTCAGCACAAATCTTGGAACTGATATACTCTGCTGGTTTATAGACGTAAATGAATTATGGGACACGGCATAAACATTAAAGGTTCACTAATTGCAAGCAATACGTCATTCGCCGTCTTCATTCATGCTTGTTATTTTAACTTTCACGACGGCAAACCTTTTCACTTTAGCATATATTTTTAATTAGTAGGCTAACCCGTTGGACTTGTTAAGCAGTGACGTGAAAATTAAATTAAATGCTAGACTATGTTCCTGCAAAAAAATGTTTTAAACTAGATTTATTACAATCAATTGTAAGAAGAAAAAGAATTTATTTCTCAAATTTGAGCACTCTTAGAAACGAGACTTTCTAAATCAATAGATAATAAATTAAAAACGAAAGAGTAAAAAAAACAAATATTAAATTCATCATAATCTTATAACATGCAAGCATTATCTTTTAGAATTCTTTATGATAATATTTCAAGTACCTTGCATAATCATTTACATTTTTATTGCCTATAAATTACTAGGAATAAAACATTTTTCTTCAATAATATAAATATCGAAATAAATATATACCGAGAAACTAGTAATTTATTTTTTAATTATTTGTAAACTCGTAGATCATCCATCATGTAGCCATATTTCATAAGTGCTTTGAATTTTACGAAGTATGACATTATCATTACGACGATAAAACAAAAATGTTAATTAGCCATATGTACGGTTTGTAATTAAAAGGCATTTCAAGATAATCTATTTATAGCACCTGCTCATTTAAACTCAGATAAACATGTCCTTGGCACTATTGCACAAAACGAAAAAAATAAATAAAGAAACATCGATTCGTTATCCAGTACACCGACAAGTTAAAGACGAGCACTATGGGACGCGCGGCGTAAAGATTTTCGGTTACATCTCCGACAAGTTACTAATTGAGATTCAGCGACACGCATAATCGCCCCGAAATAACACGGATTCCAATCGACGGAGGGCGCCATGAAAGGCGAAATACGGGCGGGACCATTCATCCCGACGGTTAAAATCACCGAATATTTCACTTTGCTGAGCCAGCTGAGCCTGCCACCGCCTGTCGCGGCACCCCGGCGATGGAAACGATGGAGGGATGAAGCGGACCTTCTCTCCACGACTCGCTCTCACACCCCTGCGACACAGAGAGCGAGAAAGAGAGAGAGAGAGAGAGAGCCATCGGGTCTAGAAACCTACGGTTTGCCACCCACATCCCTCTCGCTCTGTGTCTCTTCCTCTCCGCTCGCCCTCTTCCCTACGCTAGGCTGCAGATTTATGCGCCCCGCCTTGCAGCGCTGATATCCGAGAGCTCACGACCCGCTCCGTCCGTAATGAAAGAAATAAATTTACTCTTCTGGGGTGCCCTAGGGATTGGGTCTCGCCATTCGTGTGCGCCACACAGACGCGGCTCTCCGCATTCTGACGGTGTTAGCCGAGAGTGGGATCGCCAATTTAAGGATTTTGTCACCAGATCCGGTGCCTTTGAGTCAACAGAGTTTTACTAACTCAAAGACGGTGGTATATTTTACTTCACGACGTGTCTGTAATAACAAGCAATACAGACAAGAGAACGGATGCGTTTGTGTATAAGCGAAACAAAGGAAAGAAAAAGAATTCTGAACAAAGGAAGTGACGTCTGGTAATTACACCGAAAAAGGATAGTGATTTATTGTAAGCATTGAATTTTTCACTTGTCTCTCACATCTTTCATCTTATTTTGTAGACAGATTAGCCACGTCAAATTATAGACGTAGTAGATTAATTTTGTTATTCACTCCAAGACAAACTTAATAATTGAGCTATCCATTATTTCGTACAAAGGAAGGAAATGAACATGTGTGTGTGTGTGTGAAAGACGTTAACTTCCTAAGATGCATAATTAAGATATACAATGATAAGTAGATTACTCATAATCAGTATGACTATTGACAGTGATTAACAACATGATGGAATGATTGATAACGATATCATTTCGTGCCTGAATAAAATGCTACGGAATTGTTTAGTTTAACGATAAGAGAAAAGGTGAGCGATAAATTGAAAGAGTATAATCAGAATTTTCTAAAGATTATCTGTAAGTAACAAAACAAAGTTTTCGAGGTTGATAAACAGCCGCGATTCGTCGAAAATGATTATCTTAATTGTTTATATGATATAATTGTGCCACGATGTACGATAAAGTATGTAAAAGGTATCTTAAATTTATCTACGAAGCTTTAACGTAGACGAATAATGGGTCTGGACATGTAAGAAACTACGTCTCGTTGCCAGTGACAGATTGTGAAGTGCGTTTGATAAATTGTCCGTCAAGCATGACTGACGAGCGGAGATCGTAACAGGTCAGCGAAATCAGGCAGACTGATTTTTACATTTCTCAGCAAAAGAAGAAAAAAAGAAACACGATATGAGAGTACAATCAAGTTAAATGTCACAATAATATTTACAGTTAAACATATATTTATTGCGTATATTTTGAGAACAAAACAGGCGAGAGCTAAAATTGAAAAATCCGAGAAAAAAAAATTGCGTATTTTGATAATCTAAACGTGAAATCAGTTCTGTGAAAAATAGCGTGTGAAGTTTACATAAGAAAACGATAATCGTAAAACGCCGAAAAACTCAAACAGCACGTAAAGCGCAAACAAGGAAGGAATTGGATTAAACGAGAGAATAATATGGTAAAACGCACAACATATAGTAGAAAGGTTTAAATAATTCTACAAACATTGTTTTTATTAAAGCGGTATGGAAACTCAACGATATTTACAAGAGATATTTACAATGCGGATAAGGCGCGTATCGTATACCATGTTATTCTTCGCTTTTATTAGAATATTCTATTCGACGTGTAACGATCTGATGTTGGACGATACGATCCGATACGCTCCCAGGTATACCCTGATCAAAATCATCCCAGTGCGATTACCGAATTTTGAAAAGAAAATGATAAAACAGATTCTCTAGATCAATTTTATTTTCGTTTTCTGCAACGCGGTATTCAGTGTTTGCCTTACACAACTAACGATAATAAATTACAACATTGTGATTTATTACGGAGATATCTCAGATACGTTCATTAATAATATCCTTTTCTTATTTGTTCGTTTTCTCAAAAGAGTAGCGTAATATCACAGTTATATTGTGGACATAAAATTACACGCGATCGTCCGTACACGAATAGAACAGTTTTATTGAAGTAGTTAAAAATTTAGCTAGATACAGATCTGAAAATAATTATGTTGGACTATCCAAATAATTACTTAGAACGTTCTCAAGCATGATGAGCAATGTCGCAATTTTAACATTCTAACAACCGTCTTGAGCGTTCTAATTATGTTGACAGTTATAATTATTTTAATAATCCAACAAAATTACCTTTAGATCTGTATCTATTATAGTTAAATTGATAGATACTTGAACAAAACCGTTCTTAACGTGTACGGTGCCGCGCGCTATCGAACGCATTTAGCACAAGAGGCTCGCGTTTGCGGAGCGTCGGGAAACATACAGTAGCACTTTGCAATTTTCGCAAACATATACGTCCGTACGTCGCCGAATACGAGATGTTACGTTGTACGTAACCTGTAAAACGTGACAATGACGTACAGCGGAACGTCTCGTTTGAATCGCCAAAAAAACTCTAACAGCACGCGATTCAGAAGCGCAGTCGGGAATGCCTCGTAGTTGTTAAATCCCGCATATAGAGAGGCGAGGCTTTTGTGTCTGTCCGGCAATTGCGACAATATCAACTTACAGCTGGCATGTAATCCTTCCCCCTACATGGTAACCGGATTTTTAATAGAGATGCGTATTACTCTGGTATCATAGAAGTTCCGCGAGAGAATGGTCTCGCGATGCAACTTTAACACTTGTCAAGTTGTTTCATAAACTTTAATCATAATCTTCAATGTACACATATATTTATATTTATATATACATATATAGAATTCTTTTAAATAAATCTGTATTGTACACAGTGGCTATTTACACAACAGTTTTTAGACGGCAAGCTCGTCCATGAATTTGCACATTTTTCCAACTGTACACACTGCGAAAAGGAAAAAAGAGACGGAGAAACAGAGGGAGGAACGAGAAGAAGGTCCCTTTCGAAAAGATCCTACTACCACCTTTTCCCTCCCAATCCTCCCTCCCGCAGGAAAAATCCATCTTAGGGATGTACGGCGGCGCCGATTCGCTGTCCGTAAACCGCGTACGGCGAGTAATACGGTCCTAAGGCGTTGAAAGCGGAGTACGGCGAGGCGGCGAGCGACGCCGGTAGCGGGCCCGTCGGCGGCTTGCCGTACGGATGATATCGCGCTCCGAGGGGGCTCAGCGACGGCGCCGGGTAGGTACCGCCACTGGCGCGATGAAGGGTGGTCGACGGCGAGAGCAGCGGGTGCGGATGCGGGTTACCGAGGAGCGCCGCCGCGTGCTCGCCGCCGGTCAGGCTCGTGTGGCTACGTAGATGCTGGAGCAGCTCCTCCGACGTGGCGAATCGTTTGCCGCAGTACGACTCGCCGGCGATCCAGTTGCAGACGTAGGGCCGGCCGCCGGCCGCCAGCGTGGACGGATAGGACAACGACGGCGGCGGCATCGGGCCCAGGGACGATAACGCCATCGCCAGACCGTACTTCTGATGGTCGCACTGCGTGCAACCGCTCGGACAGCTACCCGCGCTCATCATTATTTGCGCGCTGTGCATACTGTACTGGCACCCGGTGCAAAAAGGATCCTTGCAGACCGGCACCAGGGCCTCGCCGCCGGCGGGAGTCTTCACGCGGGCGTAACTCAAGTACGGATTGCCGCCGGTCGGACCAGCCGACGGATACCCGACGGACAACAGCGCCGCCGCGTGATGCGAGAAGGGCGATGCGCCCGCGAAGGGCGGCCTGAATGCCGGATTCTCGGCGAGGCCCGGCGGACAGCACAGTGGATTGCCTGTGAACCCTGCTAGACCCGGTTTGTAAGCGGCTAGATTCGCGTCCTTTGTGTGCGCCGCACCGGAAAGGATCTCCATTCCGGATCTGATAATTGGACTCGCACCATTGTTGTTGTTATTGCTGCTGCTATTGTTGTTGTTGTTGTTGTTGCTGCTGCTGCTGCTCCGTGGCGAACCATCGGTCTTCTCGCGGTCCGCCGGGGTCTTCCGATCGACCGACGGTGTGCCACTGGTCGTCGTTGCCGTCGCTTGGCTGCTCGGCGACGCGGACTTTCGGCTCACCGGCGTGCGATTGCCGGATGATTTCTTGTCAGGATGCATGCTGTCACTCACACTGACACTATCCTGACCACTGACACTGTGTACACTGGCTTTGGACGTGGGTCTACCCTCGTCCGTGGTCTTCTTCGTCACCACGTTGACTTCGTACGGCTTGAACGCCAACGACTTGCCGCCGTCCGTCGGACTGCCGCGAGTGTTGCGCTCCAATTTCGTGGCCGGCGGCGATTTCGCGTTCGTTGCGATGCTCATGCCCTTCGAGCTCTTTTCCAAAGGCGAGATCAGCGGTTTCGTAGGCGAATCCGCTCCGATTTGACTGCATGTCTGCGCCAACAGTGCCAGCGGACTCTTTTTCGCGTCCAACTGTACCTGTCCGACAAAAAAAACCAAGTTATCCACTGTTTGTCATATTGATATACAGAAAATGAAGCATGTACTGATTAAAGTTAGTAACGTGCGATAATTATTCTTTACTTCTGATCCCGTCGGACCACAAATAGACGATTCTATTGGCGGAGGAATAAATAAATAATGGTGTAAAAATACCGCGACTTTGAATTTTTATTTGTTCTTACATTAATCCCTATTTTCAACGTGGAAATCCTTTTCCCTTATTGAATTCTGCCTAATACCAAGAAAATAGAAAAGATGTCAAAATTTGAAGAGGGTATAATGCCAAAGAGTATTAAACCGAGACCTTTTGACTGTTTCTTCACTATTGTGTCTCGATTTACGTACTATTCTATTTTCTTTGTATCGCACGTCAATAAAGTCATAATAATAATTATTATCGTCAGCGTGAGAATTTTTTTTCCTGACCGTGTTTTTTGCCCAAAAGACCAACAGAATAAAAAGTTTCGAAAATTTAAAAAGAGGAAATATATTATTTCGTGTATCAAAGAATACTAACCGAAGTTGGAAGCGGTGAAAGATAATCCGGTTGTAAATACTGATTGTGTCCAGTAGTCAGCATACTGCCTTCCTCGAGCACAACCATTTGGTTTCCCACTAATTGATCTCACTGCACACTTTAAATCAACAAATGGCTATTTACACAGACACGGGTAGGTGCGTGGCGAAAAACCAGCGAATCGCGTCGGGCCCGACCGACGTGGAGCAAACGAAAGCGATTCGCGGACACGGGAGACGTCGAGACTGCGCCTCCGTCGGGAATCGATCACCTCGCGCGGCGGCCACGTATCCTGGCGCAAGTGGGCGACGCGTACACCACGGAATCCAGGAAAATAATGACGGCCGCAACTCGAGCAGCTCCACTCTGTGCTTCGACTGCTCCGACGCGAATGCGATCCTCGCGCCGTCTGGCGGCGGCAACGAGAGACTCCCGCGTCCCCCCACCCCCCTGCCCTCCTGACTACCCCTATCCCGTACGACCCGGGGTGTATAACCTGTCCTCTCCTGTCATCCCCACCATTCGCGCTCGGACGCACAGCGGAGGTAGGGGAGATGGCATTATGGTGGGAGAATTGCGGTGCTGCGTGGGGTGTGGGAAGGCATTCTAATTCAACACGCCACCCATGATGTTGGCCCGACGATGACAGCTCCCATCCCGGCTTTGATATTTCACCGCTTTTACAGCCGTCC